CAGTCAGATTATCCTTCAGTACACAGTTCCAGTATCATTTTAGGCACATCTTTCTGTACAGACATTGTCCTGTCATTCTGCAAATACTCCAGATCACAAGACAGCTGAAAAATAGCAGAAGCAGCAGTACAAGGCAACTCAGAAAAAATAGTATTAACCTGCTGTACAGCAATTAAAAATAAACTGCAGTAGGCATGTAAAATGGCACATGCCATCACTCACTTTCCTCAGCCAGGAAGTCTGCAGCTTAAAACCACCTGTGGACTCTCAGCAATTATCACATTTCTCAAGGAGAAGCAGCAAGTGATGCACATCTGGCAACTAGACCATCTCTTCCTTCCCCCACAGGTTGTATCTTCTACTTTCAAACAGAATGTGCAGTGTGCTTTCAGTCTTTCTTGACTAAGAATACAATTGAAAACATCCCTTGGTGACAATTCCATATTTTATGGCACATCTGCTGCATCAAAAACCCTAAAAATACTTTTGGCACCAAGAATCCTGTGCATACAAAACAGTCCTTCAGTCTGACTATTTAATATGCCATCAGCTGGCCATGCAAACTAATTTAATCCAATTACAGTAGAGGTGATGAAGTCAAGCTGACTCTTAACTGAAGAATCATCAGCAAGAATTTCCTCAAAACACATGACACTGCAACTTGCTAGACTTATTTGGAGAGCTGATACACCATAGTGAAGTTTGCAATGCTCAGACTTGTTATAACAAAGGTAAGTGCAAAAAAACTGCTTTGCACCAGCAAGTAGAAGAGGAAAGGGATTCAACAAGAACACACTTTGTAAAGAACTGTAATCCTAATAACTTAATTGCCTTTGGGAAGTGCTACATCCCATTGCCTTCTCAAAAGTAATTTTATCTGCAACTTGATGCTCAGCGCTACAGCAATGAATGGAGTGGGGGAGGAAAAGAAACTGAGGGAACCAGTGAGAGAACTAAAGCTATCACTCTGTCTGATATATAACGTATAGGTACATGCAACGCTTGATCTACACATCCGATGACTCTGGAAAACTCCCATAGAAGCAAATGGAGACTGACTCACATCCAGGCTCTTTAAGCACCTACAGAGGCAGGGAAATTTGTTTTTGAATTACACAGCTGTATTTATACTTCAGTATTTATGTAGGAGTGGCCTCCTACATTGAGTGAGGCCCTACAGATCAGTATAAATTTGAAGGTACAGCCAGAGTTTCTTTTCCCTGTCTGCTTATAATGCAGTATTCCCAAATATTTTACAATATGTTAACCCCAGCTCATTGTTCCCACATAAATGGAAAACTCAAAGGTAAATAATGCACCAAGCCTCTTTAATTAAATAAGGAGTCTGGGGGAGGAGTTTCTGCAGACCCTTTTAAATCTTAAAGCCTGCCAACTGGATGAACAAAAGGTAGATTAGGCTCACATGATAAATCCCAGTAAATCTAAAAAGCCTTTGTTAATAAGTCACTAAGAGATTTCTTCCACCCCCCCCTAGAATTTCTCTTCACCAGAAGTGAGAGTTAAGATTATTTTAGCAGGTTTGGTTTCCAGCAGCATTAAATGGGTATATGCCTCATGGAGCTCTAATCTCCTCTTTTCTATAGAGCTCAATTCTCCTTTCATTCCTGCTAAAGGAGAACAAGTTATTTCTAGCTTTTATGTACGGAGCAGCTGCTGAAAATTCAGAGGTGAAAAAAGTTTATGAAATTGGTCAAGATCACAGGAAAATTAAACTGAAATTCTATATCGCTTTAATAGCAACGGCAACAACAGAGGTACAAAAGTATTTTCATTTCATTTTGGTATTTCTTTCATGTAGCAGGTTGCAAATGAGCCTTTAAAGTTTTCATTCATAAGTTAGTGTTCAGTAGCTTGTTCACAGAGGCAAATGACCTGTTAGTCTGGCAATTAGCATACTCTTCTGTTTGCAGTGAGACTTAATGAAGACATTATTAGAGACAGACCTTACTGAAGCACATTCAACAGACCTTTTACAATTGCTCAGCAAAGACCCAGATTTTAGCAAAACCAATACAATAACCACAGACAACATAGGTGACATTTAAAGCTGTGATAAATTTTTAAGAAGTTCAGATCCTATGTGGAACCATCTGGCTTCACTAATGAATTCTTTCCAACATCATAGATTAATCATATCTTCTCTGTGTGCAGTGCTGAAATCCAAACAACATATGTAATCCTAATATACATCGTGGAAGCATTTCCATCAGTTAAGGGAATGAAAGCAGCTGTACAAGACTTAAGATTCTTTCTGGAACAGTGGAAGCCACTGTCGTCATTCAGGCTCAGAAAAAGTTTTAAAAGTCCATTGCAACAGATAAGCAACGTGTTTTTAGAGCAATGAGAGAAAGGATATCCAACCTTCCAATGGAGGGTTAAAAACGGTCAATTTCACATCAAAGAGGGTATTAACCAGTCAAGGAAAAAACAAACAAAAAACACAAATAAACAAACAGAAAAACAACCAGAAACTACCTTTGTTACCCCCTAATTCATACCTGTGGAATAAAGTTTGGAAGAGCTTTTGAGCACAGTTCTAAACACAGCAAAAGCAAACAACTGCAGTATGTTTGACAAGTTTATGAAGGAGAGGAGATGAGCCTTTCTGCAAATGCAGGATGAAGCAGTCCAGGATACCTTCCAGCCCAACCTCAGGCCTGAACCCAAACTACCTAGAAGACTCTAACAACCATAGACTGTGGTTCCCAGTTCTCCAGAGTCTAACCAAAAACATTAAACCTCTCCCTACATGGCTCTCAAACAAAGCTTCTGAGCACACTTTCTGGATTTGTACATCCACAATTTTAAGACGCAGCATTTGGAGCAGTTCTGAACTCTATTTACATCTGCATTTTGTTTTAGGAGTGCTCTGAAAACAATTTGTAGCTGTTGGTTTATAGCTTTTCTAATACAGTGTGTTTGGCCTGCGTAAGGATATTGGTATGGATTTTGATTGACTGTAAAAATCGGATCATCGCCCAGAGGAAGTCCTAATGATCTTAAAGGAGGAGTCAGGGAGAACTCAAACCAGACCAAAAAACTGGTGAAAAATCATGCGTCTGATAGATTTAACTTAAGCCAATAACAATATGTAATCACTGCTTATTTCAGACTTTATATATTCCCTTTCAGCATTATACAAGTGAACCAAAAGAACTCCACTGATTTATTTCCTTCGTCCTCCTTTGCACCGTGTAGCAAGGCAAACTAGAGCTATGAAGAGATGCTTGCAACACTGAAGTATCAGATTTCTAACTTTCTTTGCAGCAGACCTTGTAAGATTTCCCTACAAGAGCAATAAAAATTGGGTCAGTGATGTTAACAAACTGTGAGACTCCCACATTCATACAAAATCCTAGCTGTGATACATATTAAACCAGGCATTTTCTTTCTGCTTATGTCTCTCTAAAAAGGTTAAACACCATTAATATAACACACACCAGCACAGGACCTGCTGCCTCCACTTCTAATGGATGGTCCTCTGGTAGCAAGCATTCACCTACTACAACCAACAGAGTCCAGTTGCTGCTGAAGTTAGAACACTTTTCTTGTAGTGTTAGAATGCAAAATGCTAAGGACAAGTGCATCCTGGAAACATTTTATATGAGCACTATGCTAGCAACTACATCATATAGTGATTAGCTACAGATGAGCACTATCATTTGAGGAAACAGAAAATATTGTGGGTATGTGCCAGATGAAAATTAACTATTTGTGCCATTTGACAGTTATTAGTAAATTTAATTCTGGTTTAAAAACAGAAGGCTCCTAAGATGCGCTCTTATAGCCTAGTTCCAGGAACATCTCAGCAAATATAAAGTTGCACAGGCAGACACATCCCATATTTGGCAAGTAATAATGCAAGTCATTAGGAAAAAAAATAAAGACGTGTAGGAAGTAGGGGGAGGGAGACAGTCATTCTGTTTGGGATTTGAAATGCGAGAGGAATTAATCCTCCCCTTACAGCTTCACTGACAGAAATGGCATTTCCAGCACTTCACTAAGAGGTGGCATCATTTTGGAGAGTCTTAGTGAGGAGCACACCTTCTAAATCCACGCTCCCCCTTCACAGAGTTCTGGGCTCAGAAACCCTCAGAAGCAGGATGTGTGGAAGCAGATATTTGCATTTACTCTCTCAGCTGTCCCTTTGTAGAGAGCATAATCTAGGCTTCAAAACAGTTTAAATTTTATTTCTGACTCGGGATGAAGTATCCCTATGGATTTACTCTGCAGAAGAAAAGACTGGGGTTACAACGTATCTATAAACTGTAAGACAATCTTTCCCATCACTTCTCATTCTTGGTCTCCAGCCCCTGCTCATCTGCTATGCCACTCCTTCCAGCTTGAGCACAGGGAGTGGTGCCAGGCCAGAGTTCCAGATGTGCACATATAGGAAAGAGGATTATATGGCAAAGAATCCCCAAAAGCATACTGCTCCATAGCCCGAAAGCAGCATGCAGAGAAGTGATTTCACATCCTCTCCCACTCCCACAAGTTAATGATTTTAAGCAGTCACCTCCTTTCTCCATCCTTATGTAGGATGTTGAAGTGGTGTCACCAGGATTTATTCTTCTTTGAGACCCTAAACACGTTGTGCAACGCAGTACAAATTACTTTAAGAACCGCAGAATTTAAAAAAAAAAATAAACAACCCCCCCCAAAACAAACCCAACAAACAAGGAAAAAAGAAGGAAAAAAAAAAAAACAACCCAAACCAAACCAAAAAACAAACAAACCCCCCAAATCAACAAACACCTACATTTTGTCTGAAGCATGAGAGATGTAGACATGCAGCTACAGAACATTTCTACATGTGCCTCCACATACACAACCTTATGTTTGAAAGTCCAAGGGAGAGCTAAAGAGACAATCATTTCAGCCTAACTTACAAGTGCTCGTTCTTAACTAACCTGAGCTACCTGCCAACAGAGAACAATAAGACTCTAACAAATTACACATAAAAGATGGCAAATACTTACTAGGCGGTTTACTTGCTCTCGGGCTGACGCGCTCTGGGAGGGGAGCAGGAGATGAGCTCTTCTCTCCACAGAAACCCAGCAGCCGCTCTTGCTGGGGACTGGGTGAGAGCTGGGCTGAGACACCCTCTGGAAACCCGTGGCTCCGATGCTCCAAGCCCGGCATATGCCCTCAGCCCGCTCCGCTGGGCTGGCCCACTGCAGGCGGCTACCTCGTCCCTCCGGAGGAGCAGGTTTCCCTCCTCCTTCCCCGCCTACTCCACCTCCCCGTGCAGAGGATGCCCCCTTGCCCGCCCCCGGGCTTCCCGCCGCGTCCCGGAGCGTATCCGCCACAGAGAGTCCCGCCGGGGTGGGCAGTGCTGCCGGAGCTCCCCCGGCCTCAGCCCACCTGCCGCTCAGCTCGGCTCGTAGCCGCTGCTCCGGGAGCCGGCGACGCGCGGAGCTGCGGGGGAAGTGGTGCCCGGCAGCGATACGTGCTGCGGCCAGCGCGACTCCCTTTAACTCCTTCTGCCCCGCCAGAGCGGGCTGCCGGCCGCCTCGGAGCCTTATTCGGCAGCGGCCGCGGCGCTGGGGGAGCCTCGGACTAGCCACCGCCAGCGGCTGGGCTAGCACCTGTGGAGTGCGGCTCGCCCAGGTGGGGCCGCTGCTATGGGGACCTGCCTGAGCGGTATAGACCCGTGTACAGGATGGGGGGGGGGGAAGGAGTGTATAGGGGTGCACATCGGTGCTATTCTGAGCCAGGCTGGATGGCGCTTTGAGAAACGTGGTCTAGTGGAAGATGTCCCTGCCCATGGCAGGGGGTTGGAGCTGCTTGACTTTAAAGGTCCCTTCCAACCCAAACTATGCTGTGATTCTATGATAGAAACGTATACAGAAGAGCACATAGGGATGTGGTGGCTGTGTAAGGTGTGTTTGGGGGTGTAGACAGTGTGTGTAGGGACTATATGGGGTGCATGAGTGGGGAAGCATAGCAGGCGTGTGTTTATAGGTTTGCATGGAATGTCTGAAATGTGTGTGGGATGTATATATATTTTCTGGGCTCAGTGTATGGCTTGCATATAGGGGGAGTACATAGAGGATGAATGTAAAGGTCTGTATGGGACTTGGATAGGATGATTATTGGAGGGGGATATTTATAGGGGTTTGCATAGGAGTATGTATAGAGTGTGTAGGGATCTATATGGAGTTGTAGGTCTGCTACACACTTCCTCGATTCTGGGGCACTCTCTGGGACACATGGGAGCTCGGGACAGCCCTTTGTCTCCCCCAGCACCCTTTAACCTGCCTAAGTCTGGTGCTGTGGTGCATCTGCCCAGGGACGACCAAATCTGGGGCAAGGGATTTAGTTTAATAAACCATTTACAGCTAATTGTGTTAAGTGCTAAAGTAGTGTAAAAGGAGGAGCAAAAGATAGATGGAGACAAACTGAATCCTCTTCAATACTGTGACCTTTGAACTGCTATTTTATAATACAGAACTAGAGACCCTGAAGGGGAAGGCTAGGGAAATCCTGGTAAATTGTAGGGTTAGAGCTTTTTCATTCTAGTACTTAAAAAAGCTTTTGTTTGCACATTTGAAAACAAGCAACAAAAAAACCCCAACACAACAGACTTTTTATCTTAGATGGATTTATAGCACACATGGGAACAGACGCACCAAAAACCCACGTTCTATAAATAAAGCCTTTCCTTTCTGTCATCTTGCTTTTTCTGTGCTCTAATCAAATTACTGCTAGGTATCTTAAAATGTGATACTGAATGGGTATGAAAAAGTGAAAGCTGCAGAGAACTTGAGAACTTGCCTCCTCAACAGGCTCTAAAATGCCTCTAGGGGTGATGGAGCAAACCACAGTCTGGGCTCTAATTCTTTCTCTCCTTCACTCTGTTTCCACTCAACAGCAGTCAACTCAGACAAAAGTGGCCAAGATAAGCTAAGTCACAGCAAAGCTGTACTTTGCTGCAGCAATGTCAGGAGTTTTATATTTGCAGAGACCTCAGTGTTTTTCAGTTTGATTCCGAGGTGAATTTTTCAGCCATTTGATAGAGAATGTGTCCTGCAACCTGAGGAGGCTTTACAAGGGCCTTTTCCTGCTACATCATTTGTCTTACTGAGCACAAGCCTCCACAAATGGTGGGAGCAGTATGAGTTCATGAAAAGTTATAGCCATCCGTTTTCACTCTTTCTCTTCCGGGTGCAGTACAAAGTGAGTGAAATAGGAGGAACTGCTGCTATCTCTTCAAGGGGAAGTTTTCTGCTGGCAATGATACTTTACATACTTCTAATTCCCTTAGATAGACTATCTGCTAGAAGCACAAGACACTTTTCCTGTTTTAAAGGCTCTGTGACTTCGAAAGAAAAGATAGAGACTTTATGAATATATTTAAGACTGAATCATTGAAATGGGAATCCTAAAGACAATTTACTTTATTTTCAGAGGTTTGAATACCTCAATTCTCACTGACTCTGTTGGACATCTCTCTGCAGGTTTTCTTTTCTGTGAAGTCACAGTGGAATTTCAAGGAAATTTTAAGAATATCTGTAAAGTAAAGTAAACCTATGAGTTAGTACAAATACATTTTCAAGACAGCTATTACCTAGTATACTTCACAGGTAATCTGGTCATTCATAGCATTAGCAATCAACTGTACATACATGCTATGCTCATTACACGTAGCTGGGTTACTATAACACATGGCACATGAGCTGTTAAAAGAAAGGTGCTTGTTATATGAACATTTTCTTTCTGAGATAAATCTTTATTTGGCATCACAATACAGAGAGAAAATGAAATCTTAAGATAGCCACACAGAACCCAGCACAAAGTTGCTTTGACTTTCTCCATGCCACAGCTGACTGAAGTCTTGTAATGGCAACACCTTTTCGGAAAGAGTTTTCTTCTCAACATTTGGAAGCATTTATTCCAAGATGCTGCTCTGCATCACACTTGTGCTTTTCTTTGCTGATTTCTAGCCTCGACTTCATGAAACTCCTTTCTTGTAAATGCTCTTATGTCTTACCAGTTGGGAATTGCTGCTCTAGACAATCTTCTAATAGCATCACTGCCTCTGCTTTCAATTTAAAATGATTGCTCAGGCCTTGAACACTCACAAAGAACAAGGCCCAGTGTTGCCAGTGAACCCGCATCTGCCTTCAGCTGAGAGGGAGGAGTAGGAGACACTTGAATTGGGCTGAAAGCCACTGAGCTCCATAAGGAGAGCAGACGGTGCCCCTGCTGGGCTTCAAGAGATTGACTCATTCTCGGCAGAGCTCACATTATTTCTCTCTCTTTTTTTCCTGGGTTTTTGGGTTGGTGTTTTGTTTTTTTGGTTTTTTTTGCTTGCAAAAGTCATATCAAGAAGGGCTCTCGCATCCTATCCCAGTAGAAGCCAGTATGACATAACACCCCATGTCCAGTCACAGTTTCTCCCCAGAGTCCTTGCTAAGACTGTTTATCTTCTAGTTGGGCCCTTATCCTGATAGCGCTCTAGGGTGCAGGAAGTCAACAGTGCCTCTTCTTTAGATGCTGATTCTAAATCAGATCAAGCTCAAGATAACAAATGTTCAGATATGAGATAATGACATTTAATGAATGCTGTTGGCTAGAATAATTCTGTATATTCTTAACTGGTTGCTTGAGGGGGATTTTTAATTGTAAACATTCTTCATGCAGCTGCTCCAGGGATATGTTTAGGAAACAGCGGCTGGCTGTGTTTAAAAGATTTCAACTCATCTTGACCTACATTTAGAGTTTTGTAGCTTACAAGCCGTGGACTGTAACCAGCAAAACCCTCAGAGAGTTTATATAGCTTCTGTACAGCAAGGCACAGGAAACAAATGAAGGCTGAAGTTACGCAGCTGAAGTGTCTGGAAATGTGAGTTACTGAAGTTAAACTATAGGGTTCAGATGATTATCAGGTTATTAGGAATAAAAGAAGCAGATTTGTATAAATGGTGTAAAGATAACCTCTCCTTTTGCCTTGTTCTTTCTTTCTGATTTGTTCTCTCACTGGAAAGTTTCTGTAAAATCTTTTAGGATCCTTTCAGGATAAAGTTCAGAAGCTGCCTAACCACAGTTGTATTTTTATATGTGTTTCCTTCTCACTTAAACTTCTGCTCCAGAAATTGCTTAAGTATAGGGTTTGTTCCCTATTATGACCCCTTATTAAGTGGGGAAACTGGTAGAATCAGATGCTTAGGAAGTAAATTTGTTGGCAAGGAACACATTAATCTGTTTGCCAAAGCTTTATTTTTCTGGCATGCTAGTGCCTGTTTCTGCAGAATATAAGCATTCATTTTAAAAAGCAAAGCAGTTTCTAGCCTCTTGAGATTAGAAGATAATCTTCTAAAAGTGAGCCACTGTAATATCTTCCCAAATCTGCAGGCAGGCTAAATTATCATCCCCAATCCTGCTTGAGTCTTTGCTACCCATGAACATAGAAAGCATTGAGAAGCCTGTGAGTTTCATACTGGAAATAGAGATTAAGTACTTGAGGAGGGAGGGAGCCAAGAGGTCAGACACTGTGTGGTACTAACATCGACAACAGTAGTTCACTCAGCTCAGGAGCAAGAAAAATTAATTAGGTGTGTCTGCAAAAGACCACATAAGCAGTCTATGCATATCTGGTAAGACATGCAGGTATCCGAGTCTTTACACTTTGAGGTTTGTTGGAAAAGAGGAGCAGGACTATAAGCATTTGGTCGTTGAGGAAATAACAGCTTTGGAAACTCAGCTGTTTTATCCTCTTGTATTTAGAGGTTGGAATAATGTATAAGCTAGTGGCAAAAGCAAGAAAAAGCTAGCAGTCATGATACCAGTTAAAAATGGACAGCTTCTGTTTCAAACAGACAAACTGTTCAGATTAGCAGATCAAGTATTTGGTTGGACTGCAAAAATTCTGCATCATCATGCTTCTAGAGCCACTGGCAATGGCAGAGAACCTCCATTTTCATACATTAAAGCATTAAAAATGTTAATTATTTGTATCTTTGTTGAATGAAATCAATCAGCAGAATACTATTGGTTTTCATGCAAGTGATGGATAAAGGGAGTGGTTACTTCACATTATGCAAAACGGCATTGAGAAACAGGTACCTACTATGGCAGGATTGAGCCTACAAATGAGTGGATCACTATAA